AAATCAAATTAAAATATGCAGATCTTCCCAGTGTCTAACCAGAAAGTTGATGAACCAGGGTTATGTCAAAGAACGTCTCTCCATTTTCTAAAAAAAGTTCATTGGAAGATATACAAACACCTTGTTGATAAATATTCCGTATCAACTTCACAAATAATACATGATGGTGTTGAAGTAGAGATTCTAGGTTCTGACGTTGTTTATCATCTTAATTACGTGTTATATTGTTTGTCTATTTGTCTTTACAAATTATTTACTTTACTGTGTAGTCAATTTTTGGTAATATCCTTTTGGCGTGACTCGGTACTTATACATCCCGCCATTTGTGTTTTGTGTTATCGTCATTTTTTGTATTCTTGTCTTTCATTTTTGCTTATGTGCTTTGTCTATATGCCATTTTGTTTTCCTTGTTCACATATTTGTTTGTTTTTGTATTGATAAGATTATAACACAATGTTGACTGCTGTATCCCTATTCTTGACATTTTAACCTATTATTTCTGTTTGTTTTGTTCACACATTGTTGTCAATATAATGGAATTTTATGCAACTGTCATACAAGTGAGAGGTTTAGCTATCTACAAAACTAGATTTAATCCACAATGTTCTACATAAGGAAATACCTGTGCCAAGTTAGGAATATGATCGTTGTTTTCCGTACGTTTGATGTGTTTGAGCTTTTGATTTTGTCATTTGATAAGGGACTTTCCGTTTGGAATTATCCTGGGAGTTCCGGATTTTTGTTATTTAACTTTCCACCGTCTATTTCTTCACCAGAATTTAAGATTCGTCTCATAAAAAGTATTCATTAAACCGCTAACAACATAAACAAAGAACCTCCAATTTTCAGCATGCCTGGTTAGTCTGAAACAATGCAAATATTACCAAGACATGACATTTGTCTAGGCTCGCAGTAAAGTGGTTGGGTTGTTGATTTTACTTTTCTTAATTTTTGACATTAAAGGAATGTCAATTGCACAAATGACATATGTGTGATGTTCATTCTGATGACACATTAAAAAAAGTACAAGATAAATTTTAATCAATTAGAAAAAGAAATGAAATGCTCCGATGGGCGCAGCTTGATAACGACCGCAGATGTCAAACACTAAACAATTGGGGCAAGTATCGACACTACATTCAAGCTTGATGCAGGTCTGAATTGGGATTGGGATTAAATATTTGACACAGCATAGGTTTCTGACACAGAATAAATGTGATCAAAGAAATAAAATATTTTAAATTGAAATTTTACGCTTTATGGTCCAATATCCAAATAAAAATACATAGTTAGGTTCAGCATAGTCGAGAACACAAAGAATTTAATTAACTTATTTATTAATGAACAGCTAAGTTTTTGATAAGAAAAATACAAAAATACCGAACTCCGCGGAAAATTCGAAACGGAAAGTCCCTAATCAAACGGCAAAATCAAAAGCTCAAACACATCAAACGAATGGATAACAACTGTCACATTTCTGACTTCTTACAGGCATTTTCTTATGTAGAAAATGATGGATTGAATCTGGTTTTATAGCTAGCTAAACCTCTCACTTGTATGACAGTCGCATAAAATTCCATTATATTGACAACAATGTGTGAATAGAACAAACAGACATAATAGGTAAAAATGTCAAAAATAGGGGTACAGCAGTCAACTTTGTGTTATAATCTTAATCATTATAAAATTAAAACAAACAAATATGTCAACAAAGAAAAGGAAAATGGCATATAGACAAAGCACATTAGCAAAAACGAAAGACAAGAATACAAAAATCTACCATAGTTCAATAACACGTACAATGTCGGGATGTATAAGTACCGAGCCACGTCAAAAGGATATTACCAAAAATAGACAAAACAGTAAAATCAATAATCTATAAAGACAAATAAAAGAACACTATAATACGTAATTAAGATGATAAACAACGCCAGTACCTAGAATCTATACTTCGAGACCATTGTGTATTATTCGTGAAGTTGAATCACAATATTTATCAACAAGGTCTTGGTATCTTCCGATGATTTTTTTAAGAAAAAGGACGAGAAGTTCTTTGACATAACCCTGGTTCATCAACTTTCTGATCAGACATAGGTGACGTTTTACAAAGTCTGAGTAAAAGCTGCAAGCTCTTGAATACCGAATGAGTTGGGAAACGTATATCCCATATGCAGATGCTACATAAAAAAGTGTATATACATGTATAGCATTCGAAAAATTAATCCACGAAGAAGAAAAAAACTACCACGAAGTTCTTCAAAATATTTACAAAAAAATGAGAGAAAAAAAAAAAAAATCCAAAATATCATTCATCATTAATACAATGTCTTTAAAAAATCTATAAAACTTACCTTTAATTATTTTTCCAAAATATCTAATAATGAACAGTAAATCTTAAACTATAATTATACATAATTTCTTCTCTAAAATTAAATTTGATGCTATATCTATTTTTAACTATGAATCAACTTACAATTTCTTTTAATCGTGTATTTTGGTTTTGATCGAATATTTGACATAGCATAGTTTCTGACACAGAGATGGATGTGATCTCAGAACATAAAAATTTGAAATTTGGACATTTACCTATTACGGTCCAATATCCAAAGAAATTTGAACATTTACCTATTATGGTCCAATATCCAAAATCTAAATACATGATCAAAATCAGCATATCAAAGAACCCCAATAATTCATTTTTTTGATAAAATCAAACAAAGTTTAATTTTGGACCCTTTGGACCTCAATGTGGACTAATATGATAACAGAACCCAAAATCCAAAATCTAAATACCGGTTGAATTCATCATATCAAAGAACCCTATGTATTAATTTTTTATTGAAATCAAACACAATTTAATTTTGGACTTCGATTTGGACTTAACAACTGAAAACTTGGCCTAAAATAAAAATATCAAAATACATGTTTAGATTCAGCATATCAAAGAACCCCAAGAATTCATTTTTGTTGAAGTCAAACAAATCTTAATTTTGGACCCTTTGACTTCAATATGGTCAAATTTAAAAAGGGGGTCAAAATTCTAAGATCTTAGTTCACGGTTAAATTTAGTATATTAAAGAACCTCAAGAATTCAAGACTTTGAATTAAACCCCATTAGAATTGGTCAAGAAATAAGCAATTTATACAAAGTATAAGAAAAGTATCGTGTTTGGCCCTTTTTTCCTAAACGGTTAGGGCCATTGCCCACTCCCCCCTATTCTATCAAATGGCCACGGGGGGGGGGGGGGGGGGGGGGGGGGGTGGTCCTCAACATGGGATTTTGGGTACAGTTGTGCAGCTGGGACTTAAAAAACACCCCCATTCATATATTGAATAATTGAATAATTGTGAAATCCCTACCTATACATATATTTCACAGCGAAATCATAACCCATTCATATATTTATCAGCTCAAAACTTGTGTCAATAAGTTTCAGCAGATGTGGAAATTTAATGACAAAGAGTTTGGGAAATTCAGTGAAGATCGTATTATTTACCTGAAAGCATTATTATACATTAAACGCATTGAGGTAGACTTGCATTTAGACCATAAAGACACACAATAGACATTCATATAATAAGACCGAAAAAGTTGAATCTTCGAATTCACACCCGTAGAACATTTATTAAGTTTTCGCTTCCGCATATTAACTTTCCTGCATATACTTTGATATTTCTCTTTATGTCACAATCATCATTTAAATCATTACAAACCATATGTCCAAGATATTTTAATTCTTCAACAAATTCTAATAAAATGCCCATATAAATAAAATTTGGGAACATTGTAAATCTTCCTATACTTTGTTTTAAAAATCCTACACATAGATTTCTTAACATTAAATAAAATATCATTTTCAGTAGCAAATTCTTCACAAATAGATAAAAGTATTCTCAACCCGGCAACCGATATGGGCTTATCATACACATATCAACAGCATAACCAAGACTAGTCATGGGCGTTTTATTCAAATAACAGCCAACATTAATTTAGCTTTTGCTAATCTGTTTAATAATCAAATCATTTATAAAAAAAAAAATTAAACCGAAGTAAAGTGATAAAATACCCCCTTGACACACACCATTGCTGACATTATAAATAAGATTAGTTATGGGCGTTTTATTCAAATAACAGCCAACATTAGCTTTTGCTAATCTGTTTAGTTATCAAATCATGCATTTATAAAAAAAATTAAACCGAAGTAAAGTGATAAAATACCCCCTTGACACACACAATTGCAGACATTATAACTAAAATTAGTCATGGGCGTTTTATTCAAATAACAGCCAACATTAGCTTTTGCTAATCTCTTTAATTATCAAATCATGTATAAAAAAAAATAAACCGAAGTAAAGTGATAAAATACCCCCTTGACACACACCATTGCTGACATTAAACTCGCCAGAAATAAATTCTCTCCATCTAATACAATATACCTGAATTTGAAACTAATTCATTAAAAAAAAATATAATTGGGAATGTTAGATTTAAACAATTTGTAACGGAGTGTCCAATGATTTACTCATCCAAAATTCCTTATATGACAAAATTCTCCAAATAACGAAAAACCTTAAGATATGAAATACAAGATCATAAAGCAGCCGTACGGTTGCCTATAATTGCTTAAATCCACTTCATTTAAACTTTGGTGGATAGTTGTCTAATTGCCTGCAATCGTATCACATCTCCTTATTAATTATTTTTATACTGAAACATGTGATTCAAGTCTAAATGTTTTTATTATTAATATTTTTTATTAATTTATTCTTTCTTTGTTTGTTAATTATTTTTTCTATTATTTTAATTTATTTATGCTTTTATTTTCGAATTTTTTCTTTTATAATGGTAGTTTATTTTATCATTATCATCAAGGACGTATGTACGAATTTACGTGGCGTTTTATGCTAGGGGCGTTTTGTTCTCTTTCGTCTGAATCAAATAAATGCTTCTATGTAACGTGTATGTTTATTTACCAATATAAACATTAAAATCACTCGGATCTGTTGATTTTAACTTCCGCCTACGTCACATTTACACACTTTCTATCGTTTACTGTACACGTCAACAACATGGTAAGTTAGAAGAAATTTAAACTAAAGAAAATATACAAATTGGTTAACAATAAAAAAGAAAACTAATCCAATTCTGTGATTAAGTAAATAGAGTGCGCATAATAATGGGAATATAATGAGTGTAAGATAGACAAATCTCTAAGAATTTTCTGGCAGCAGTTACACCGGTAACCCTTCAGCAAACAAATTGTTACAGATTTTTAGGGGTAAAAAGTGAACATAATTAGTTTAAAGATACTTGTGGTCAGCAGCTTGTATGGATCGTGTACCTGTTTTAATTATTATGGGATCTGTTTTTCGGAATAAAGATATTTTTAAATATAGGGCCTATGTCTATGAACACATGTAGCTGTGGAACTGTAGCTCATAGGTCGTGATATTTATTGACAATTTGCAAATTGTCAAAAAATATCAGAAGGACCTAAGAGCTACGGTTCAGCAGCTAGAGCCCATGATGATCAAAGTAATTTATTGCAATGATTATGAATGGGACTTGCATTCTTTAAACAAGATGTTCCCTACTATAGTCTATACAATTATTTTAACAAATGGGTGGCATCAGGCATATTGGATTACTGTGACAAGTATGCTAGAAATTTTATTTTGACAAATTTATGTAATGCGCACCATATGTTGGAAGGAATACATGTATGTCTATCTTAATGATTTTCATTGAAAAGAATAGACTATCACTTTTTGGGAACCTGTGACACTTCACCTAATATTTGGTTACACTAGAACTGAGATCATACAAAAATCACTTTTGCATCGTTGTCTGAAACATTTTCCTTCATTGTCCTTTGGAACATCAAATGTTATGTATTGTGGTGTTTTAACGCCACTTTTAAGCACCGCTTTTTGGCTATTTCATAGCAAAAGTTTTTATTGGTGGAGGAAGCCGGAGTGTCTGGAGAAAACCACGACCTTCGATAGGAAAACTGACAATCCTAGTTAATTAAGATTGGAGTCCAGTGTACCCGCACGAGCGGGGTTCGAACTCACAACCTCAGTGTTGACTGGCTAGTGATTACAGTAGTGACTACTTAGACCACTCGGCCACCGAGGCCCCCAAATGTTATGTAAACATTAGAGCTGTTTACTTGTACATATAAACATGATAAAAATAAGAAGATGTGGTATAATTGTCAATGAGACAACTCTCCACCAGAGACCAAATGACATAGAAGTTAACTATAGGTCACTGTACGGCCTTCAACAATGAGCAAAACCCATACAGCTTAGTCAGCTATAAATTATAAAAGGCCCTGAAATGACAAATGTAAAACAATTCAAACGAGAAAACAAATGGCCTGATTTATGTAAAAACAATGAACGAATTACTATTATGATATACATGTACAGCAACAGATGACAATGACTGCATTACAGGCTCCTGACTTGGGACATACATTGTACAGAATGGTGTGGGGTTAAACATTTTAGCCGACTCCCAACCCTAACCTGGGACAGCGGTGTAACAGTACAACATACACATGTATGAACAAAATGTATTGATTGACCTTATTTTATGCAGTGTTTTGAGTTAAATTTAAAGTAAACATAACTGTTAGCAACCAAAAATCTACGGTTTACAATGTACATCCTACATGCATGACATGTCCTATCTCAAATGATCTGGAAAATAAACGTGTTTTTTTTCTCAAATTTGTCAAAAAAAAATTTGATTGGGATTCAAAGGACACTACTCTAGTATCATTGATAATTGCATTGTTTAAAATGCTTTACTGACTATAGCTTTACATTTGATGTCAGGAATATCTTCAGGATTCAGACGGTTTTGATTATGTTGATGAGGACCATGGAAATAAATTTGTAACTTTGAAACGCGGCCGAAAAGATGACAAAGATGTTAAAAAAAAGAAAATCAATGCATGCAGATGTACAAATATTTTTATGATTTTTATGACCATACACATGTATGTATTAACAGTGTCATAAAGAGGAGAGCTTAGGCCGAGAAAAAAATAATCTGTGTTTCCAGTAACCCGACCGACCCTGTTTTTTAAGCCCCGACCCCAATTTTTTTATTGGATCTTCAAAAAAAAAAAATGGTATCAACCGACCCCGTTTTTGACACAGGCTTCTGTTAATCGACATAATTATTTATCTAACTTGCTTCTCCTGGCACAGAATGCCAGTAAAACATTTTATTTATGTCAAAAGGTCTTCCAAATAGGTTAAAATCCAAGAAATTTGCACAGCAGGTGCTTCAAAAACATTGCAAATGGCTGCACTTCCGGTATTTGAAACTAATTACGGACCTGGACTTGGAAAAACCATGATAATTTTCCGGATTTCGTTTACAATGTCAAAAAAAAAAAAAAATCCGACCTACCTACCCTATTTTTCAAAATGATGTTACCGGAAACACAGATTATTTTTTTTTAGGCCTTATATAGTCAAGTGTACAACTTCAATTACAGTCATGTATGCGAAAAGAATTGTTTTCAGCTTTTTAGTATTGAAATATTGTTTCCATAGTGAGTTACAGATGTTGCACTTCATTAACAAATTTGTAATATTTGCAAGTCATGCAAGTCTGATGTACAAATGTAATAAATTGCATGAATTGTATGAAGTAAAATTGTGTATTTGCATAACATCACTCAAACAGCAGATAAAATTCAGCAAATGGCTCTACAATTTTCATGGGGGCAATGCCCATACCCTCCAAGCAGGTTCACTTTGCTATGCCAGGCAAAATACTGTCAGGAAGGATCCAGACAATTGATGGTTTACAATTTGGAAAAACAGCTATGGAACGTTTCTGATGTTCAATAAACATGACAATGCTAGACAAATAGCTACATGTATATCATGTATATATAACATGAATAACTAGCTATATATAGCATGAATAGCAATCAGGTGTTGTGTCCAATTTTGTCGAAATTGTATCCTTGAGAATTATCAGATATATCTTCAGTTGAAATTCATGTCAGTATTGAAGAATTTTTAAATCACATAATGCAAGGACCCAAATATCAATGGTCATTTTAGACCAAGACTAAAAGTTTAAGTTAACATGTATGTTAACCTAAAAAATATTCAAAAAATTACAGTACACTGTATTAATGTTGAGGGTGGGTTGGACTTTCAAGTAATAACTTGTACACCATTTACATTTTTTTTCAATCTATTTAAATGGTTGTTTCAATGGTACACATGTACATTTTTTACATTGTATGTATGTTGATTTACAAAAATGTATATAATGCTGTAAGTTAATGTACAAAAGATATAACATAAATTGTAAAATTATTTATTAATATATTTATAGCCAGCCCCAGCAAGTTCAACATCAGTAGGAGCAGGACGTAGTCCTTCATCAAAAACAGTATCACCAAGGTCTGGTGGTGGTGGATCGACTACAAGACAGAGGTAAAGTGCTTGCTATGTCAAGGTTCTCACTACAAATTTCAGGCTCCATGACAAAATAGAACAACTTGTCAAGGGATGACACTAGATACCGCCAATTTTTGTTATAAAACAATGTTAGAGGAAAGGAGGGACTTCAAAATTCCCTCCACAACCAACATACAAGTACATGTGCTTAGGGTTTAAAAACAGAAATAATCACCACTTTTTTTTGACACAACTCAATAATACAGGACAAATACTTAAAGCTTCATGTACATGATGTAGCTCAATAGCATAAAAAGTGTTGAACATGCTATTATAGAAATCGTGTTTTCACACATCCAAATTCACTATTAGCTGATTTTCCAATCAGATCACGGCATCAAAAATTATTGTTTAGAATCTTCAAATAAAGTAGGCCAAATAACACATGTATTTAAATTGATGATTTTGTTTCTACAGGAAGACCACAAGTTCCTCGGGTAATGCACGTAAATCTGTAGCTGGAGGTGGCAGCAGCAGTGCTGGTATGTGGAGATTTTATACTGAAGATTCACCAGGAATAAAAGTGTAAGTATACGTAAAAAGGAGGGGATTTTAGGTTAAAGAGGCGGAGTATTTATGGCCAAGTCGTCTCAGTAGTTCAACTACTGTATCACTAGCCTGTCAACAATGAAGTTTTAAATTCTAACCCCGGCACATGGCAGTTGCGTTTGACCCCAATCTAAATTGACTAGGATTGTCAGTTTTTGTTGCATAGGTCAGTGGTTCTCTCTGGACACTCCGGCTTCCTCAACCAACAAAAACTTGCTGCCATGAAACAGCCAATAGTGTTGAAAGTGGCATTAATCACAAAAAAATCAATCAACCATGTAGTTCTATAATAAGCTTCCCTCTTAAAATAAGTGATCTAGAAGGAAAATGATAGCTGTAACTTGTAAAATCTGAAAATTTTATTAGACTAGTGATAATAATACATGTAACTAATAATGGGATGAAAATTGTAAAAGATAGATGTGGATAGAAAATGACATGTTCTTATAAATTGGTTTGAGATAACTGATAATATATATTAAAAATACATAGGAAACAGAAGAAAGTTAATATATTATTTGTTTTGCAAGAGTATACCTTGGAGTTGGATGTTTTATTTCTGTATTCTTCTTTAATGCTCTTTTAACTTTTGAAAATAGTGCAAAATATGCAAGTTTATATTTTTAATCATGCACGTTGGTTTTCCTGTTTATATAGCCCTTTATAGCTTGCTGTTCCGTGTGAGCCAAGGCTCCGTGTTAAAGGCCGTACTTTGACCTATAATGGTTTACTTTTGCAAATTGTGACTTTGATGGATAGTTGTCTCATTGGCACTCATACCACATCTTATATCTACCTATATGGACCACAAGTAATGTATTGTAAATTGAAATGAATTATCTCCCTTTTATTTATTTATTTGCATTTCTTTTCAGAGGACCAGTGCCAGTATTAGTGATGAGTTTGATCTTCATTGCTTCAGTCTTCATGTTACATATATGGGGAAAATACACACGAGTATAGACCAATCATAACACATGTTACATCATTATATATCAGGATAAATCATTGGTGGAAAAACAGGATGTGAAAATTTGACCAAAGACAGTTTGTCTGTTCCATTATACCTTTGTATTTATTGAATGTGAAAAAATACATCTTGTCTTGGATTTTGTTTAAATTATAAAATGAAAAAAATTGCTCCTCTAAACATGTACAAGTATAAAACAACAGCTGAAAAAGGACAATTGCTACATTTGTTATGAATTAGTATATTATATGTCTCAGTGCAAATATTTTTTTAATTTTTATTCTCAACAAGCATTATTGTACAGATTCAAAATGATGTTAAAAAAAGTAATGCAATATGCTGTTGTAGTTTTGAAAAGCAGGAAAATGATTTTTATTTAACCTGTATCCATATACATACTGTGGACCATAAAATTGTATATAAAGATTAATTGATGTACTTAATTTTACATCATTATTTGTGAAAGTATATTTTATGACCTATTTTTACTTGTATATCATAATTTTTATTTTATGAATAAGCAATTCAAAGATGCAAGTCTTAAGAGATAAAAAAAAACAGATCATTTATCTCCAGATAATATCAACCTCCATTTCATTTCATGGCGAAAAAATCATTTTACTGTCTGCACCACACAGAAACAACAATATGTCAATGAAATATATGAAATAGTGTGTTTGGTTCATCAGATAAGAATTATTTTGTACTTCTCAATATCAGAAAGTTACATATTTTTTCACTAATTTAGACTGCAGTGAAAAAACAATGCCTTTAGAAGTAATACATGTATCACAATTCACTTTGAAAATTTGTTCTATAATTTTTTATGTACAGTTTTGAAATCAGTACACTCAAAGGGAGATAAGTCTGATTTAACATTTTGTTATTTATGAGTTATGTTGTGTATTTTCCTAGTCAAAACATTTTTGACATTTCATAAAATATGTACAATAAGACTGAAAAAAGAAACAATAAAATAAAGAAAACAGATCTTATTATTTTAATTATCAGCATTGTATAGTGTCACATGTAGACTTTGCTTCTATGATTCTATGGATTGTACTGAATGTCTGTCTATTTATCATAGTCTTGTACATTGGATATACTGTTTTTGTATGATGATAACTAGATAATTAATAAAGTTGTGTAGTATATGTCAGTGAGACAGCAACACCACAAAAAAATACTATAAAAGAAAGAAAAATGTTACAAATTATATTTTGTGCATCAATTATCATATAAGAATCTAGAGATGTGGAATGATTGCCTATGAGATGAACTATCCACCAGAATCTAGAGATGTGGAATGATTGCCTATGAGATGAACTATCCACCAGAGGTCAAATGACGTAGATGTAAGTAATTATAGGTTACTGTAGCCTTCAACAATGAGTAAAATCGATACTGTATACTCTGCAATATAAGGTCTAAATTTGAAAAAATGTCAAAACAATGAAACAAATAGTCTGATTTATGACAAAACAAATAAACAAAAAACTAATATGGCAAACAGCAACCAACAACATCCACTTATTAGCAGGCTCCTGACTTGGGACAGGCACATACAAAATAGGGTGGGGTTAAACATTTTAGCAAGCACTCAAACCCCCCTAACCTGGGACAGTGGTGTAACAACACTTATCAGTTTTCCCACTGTCTGTATCACTCTGCTCAGCTCTTTATAAAATTGCATATCACCACTTTGTGATGTCAAATATGTTAACCCGACCTAAATAACTTTGACTAGGACATATTACCAACATCATAATGAATAAACTGACGTTGATAAGTTTGACCAGAACTTGTCAGTTTATCTTCCAGTTTGCTGGTGAAACAAAGAAAAACACTTATTTCTGTCATGTAAAATACACAAATACAATCTGATACATCGATTATCAGATTTTCATCTTATTTATATTGTTTTAAAAATATCAATATACTGAAAATTCAGAAATTATTGTATGCAGTTATTGTGATTTTTGAAGAATTAAAAAAAATGCAAGTTTAATTATTGCGAATTTAGGAAAAGCTACATACAGATATATGTATTTGATATCAGAATGCAAGTTCTTATTATTGCGATACTCAAGTAGTCGCATTATTCACATTAATAAAAACCTCGCAATAATTTCGGAATTTACAGTACAGATAATCTGTACATCTTAAGAACAAACTCTAATGGATGGATACCCCATATCCTTTGTTTTTCTATTCTAAAAATCATCCAAGAAAATTTTTCCATGATAAATTTTAAAGTTATTTCCTGCCAGTATAAAAGGCTGGCTACATGGCTAGAGATACCCTTTGGGACATAAAATTTGGAGATCAGAAGATTAAAATATTAAGTTTTGTGCTATTATACAATATGGTTAAAATGCTCTTGTCAGCATTAGCACCTCATCAAATTGTGTGCAAATCCAACCAAAAACTTTTGAGCATTTTTAAAAACAACTACAAACATTCTATATATAGCTTGCTGTTCGGTTTGAGCCAATGCTCCATGTTGAAGGCCGTACCTTGACCTATAATGGTTTACTTTTATAAATTGTAACTTGGATGAAGAGTTGTCTCATTGGCACTCATACCACATCTTCCTATATCTATAGACACTCGAGTGTGCAATAGAAAAGTAACTGTGATTAGATGAAATACCCATCAGTTCAATCAGTCAGTCTTTGGAAAGTCTTTTGTTAAAAAGAAATCATTTAGAAGAAGTAGTGGTCTTTACCAAGTTGGTTGAAACCTTCAAATCAACCTTGCCAAATCAGTACTTCGAATGAGCGCTCTCTCTACCATTGCATAACAGAGGATCTGGAGTCTTCATTCGTGTATTTTTTAATTTTGCCATTTTTCTCTGTTATTTATTTGTTTTGCATATTGTTATCTATTCTTCATATTTTAGCAGCAAATTATTCTCTTTTTTTTCTTTGGATCATTTTTCTGTGGTCTTGGTCCAATATTCTCTATTCTATAAACTCTGCCCAGACCCTCATAAAGACCAGTTAAGAATAGAGCTTTGATATTTTCAGTGTAATCTACTCTCAACAGTTTATACTCTACGCGATTGAAAGCAACTTGACATATTTTATTGACACTTTTCAATTGTTGATTTTGGTTATTTGTGCCGTTAATTTGAAAAGAGGTAAGAGGAAATACGAACATAATATCTAGTAAATATAAATATACCACAACATATTTAAATGAAATGAAATTGAATAAGACAGCAGTAATATAAAATTAACAAATACACAACCGAAAGAATACTGACATCTATCAGTCAACTAGCGATAACATGCGTGCACATGTCGTGCTATGCTGATCGTTAACACGCTATAATAGTTCACGCCTGCTGGACTACTGGAAAAAAAAACAGGCTAGCTTTATATACCTGCCAGACATGCGGTAAAGGTGTTAGCATATGCTTACACCTGCTGAACTACTGGTGGTTAACACGATACCTTAGTAACCTTGTCGGACTACTGACTTTATACACGCAAGTTTACACCTAGTGAACTAACGGTGGTAAATATGCTAGCTTACACATGCGAAGCAACCAGCGGTAAAGAGGCTGGCTTATTAATGTCGGACAACCAGTGGTAATGGTGCCGGCTAACAACTGTCAGACTACTGATGGTTAACCCTTTCGATTACACCTGGTCGACTACTGGCAGAAACCACGCTAGTTTACACATGTCGAGCTATCAGTGGTAAACACCCTAGCTTCTACCTAACGGACAACCAGCGGAAAAAGGTGCTAGCCTACACATGCCAGACTACTTGCGGTTATCACGCTGGTTTACAAGTGTTGGACTAACACCGACTGTCAGCGGTAAAGTTGCTAGCTTACACCTGCCAGACAACTTGTGGTTGACACGCTAGTTTAAACCTGTTGAACTCATGGCGGTAAACATGATAGCTTTCAACTGTCAGTATTCTAACGGTAAATACGATAGCTTACACCTGGCGAACAACTGGTGGTTAACACATTAGCTTCTACCTGCCGAATAACCAGGGGCAACGGTGCTTACACCTGTCAGATTAATGGCGGTAAACACGATGGCTTACACCTGCCGGACTACTGGCGGTAACGGTGCTAGCTTACATTGGTCAGAATATACCATGGCGGTAATCACGCTAGTTTATGTAAATGCTCCTTTGTTCCGACGTTGGAAAGTTCCGGGCGGAAAGAACTAACTAGCTGAAAAGTTCCGGAGGAACTTATTAACTAGTTACTTTGTTCTTCCTCTGGTTTAAAAGTTCCACCGGAACAAAGTGACTAGTTGAAAAGTTCCAACGGAACATATCAACTAGTTAGAAAGTTCCTTTTTGCAAAATTAGTCAAAACCGGAACTAACAAACTAGCCCAAAAGTTCCAACGGTACTTATCAACCAGGCAGAAAGTTCCATTTGGAGAATTGATGCAAAGTAAAAGCGCAACATATTATATTTGAACCTTTCAAAGGGAAACCAAGATACTGATTACAAAAGTCAGAAGGAACTTATCAACTAGCCACAAAGTTCCTCTTTGTAAATAAGTCAAAACCGGAACTAACGAACTAGCCCAAAAGTTCCAACGGAACTTATCAACCAGTCACAAAGTTCCATTTGGAGAATTGATGCAAAGAACCACATGAGGAGGGGGTATTCTTCCCTCTCTTCTCTCTTGAGGGTACTATGAATACTAAATTTGCATGATAATGCAACTTATTCCGTTTTATGTGAGCTATGAAATACGACTTAAATTTTGCATATTCGTCCCCAAAGAAACCCCTTTCAGTGCGTTGGGTATTCTTGTAAATTAATGATTTGCTCTTATATATACTGATACTCATTCTTCCCCCTCTTTCTGCAAAAAGGACGAAATATGGTATATTCGGAACGATGTAACTAGTTGTTCTGTTCCGCCAGAACTATTCAACTAGCTACATTGTTCCGGGACTTTTCAACTAGCTACTTTTTTCCGGAACTTTTCGACTGCACTCGGAATAAAACAACTATATGGAAAGTTCCATCGGAACGAAATAACTAGTTGAAAAGTTCCGCCGGAACAAAGTAACTGACGGAACATAGTGGCTGTTACACTTACACCTGTCGGACTACTGGCGATAAACACGATAGCATACATCTGTAGGACTACTTATGGTTAATACGCTAGCTGTTATACCTGCCGGACAGCCGGTGGAAAATATTACATCGGCCCTACGACTAGTGGAAAAGATGCTTCCTTACACCTGACATACTAATTGCGGTTAACTCACTAGATTAAATCTGCTGGATTACACCTGTAGATGACTGGCTGTAAAAACGCTAGCTTTCACTTTTCAGACTTTTGGCTATAAAGGTACAGTACTAGGTCATCACAATGTAACGATGGAACCATTTAATTAGTTTTTTAAAAACGGCACAAAATACATTTGCATTAAACAGTCATTAATGTATCAAATGCCTTCAACATTTTTAGTAACTTTATGAATTGATTAATAAAAAACAGGGGCGTGTTTTTTTGTTCTTCGGTAGTGAGCCAGAAGATGTCCATTTCTGTTTTTTTGCATTGGGAAGATCTTCTGGCTCTCTTCTACCTCTTCCTTTTAAATAGGTGGTTTAGACGGCAGAGGCACATAACAAACATGGCGTCGCTAAGTCTAAATGACATTAATAAATTTATGAATGCAACTTTAATAGAATGTGAGCTTTGTGATAAACGTTTTTATGGTATGACAGCCTTAGTAGGACATCCCTGTGGGGACGATAATTAAGCTGGATTAATATAAGAACTACAGGACGATTTTTTGCGGATTTATTATTCATTTTAATCTGTCGCTAATCATGTCTATTTTTTCAGCTCTTACCAGGCCACTATAATATGAGGAAGGCGCTACCTTGAATGCCAGCTTACCAAAACTATGTCCTACATATTGATTGATTGTTGGTTTGCTTAACGCCCAGTGGCAAATATTTCATGCATGTTCAGGACGAATGTCCTACATATA